TTCTTTTGAGCGTGTGGCTCTAGGGGTACAGGTTAGGGAACGATTCCCCTATCGAGGGTGCTTGAGTATATTTGATCTTTTAATGCATTGATATGACGGTTTCTTTGCTGCCTTTAGATCTTCTTCAACTTTTAATTTGGAAAGTTGATTTGAAATTGATATCCTTATAAAAGGGAGGTTTTCGACCAAACATCTATTTTTTCTTGATTTACTATTCAACGCTCACTCTTTCTTCCCAGGTTCATTTATTTATTCTTTTGTCTCAAAATTTTGAAACTTTTATTGCTTTCACCCTTGTGGGTTGCCTTTCTCTCTTCCTCATCTTTGAAGGTACTTATCTTTCATTGTGTGTTGTTATGACTAACTCATGAGATATGCATATGAACAATGCTCTTGAACTGACCAATGACGAGTCTTCATCATCTGAAGGAGTTAATAATCGCGAAATCTTAGACCTCTTTTATGCACTGAACTTCCACATCCATGTCTCGAACACGTCTCGTGGTAGCTTTGGTTCGTGGTTGGATTCTTTTGGTGATAAAAAAGATTAGTCGATGAGTGAAAACTCCATCCAGGATGCTTTTTTAGCTCGTGTCGAATATAACTTGAGCCTCGTTTTGTTTGATTAATAGCGTGGGGGATTGGTTTCTCTATTAAGTCTCTTGAGAAAAACTCTCTCCATCGGTGTTATGTTGTTGCAAATCAAACTGATTTATTTTGTGACGCAGAAACAAAAATTGTTGGAAGTGATAGACGTGGGCAATTATTTTTAGGTGTACCTTGTATATCTAAAGGTAGTTTCCTCTTATATTTGATAAGCTGTTGTGAAGGAAGTTACCTTTTAAGCGGGGTCATCTTCATATTGGTCTATCTCTATCATTCTTTCCAATAAGAGAATATAAAGCAATTTTAAAGGATGCTCTATTCATTTTTATGAATGTATTTTCCAAAAATTGGGTGTCCGACTTCCTTTGATTATTTTTTATAAAGAGGTATTAGATTTCCTTCGCATTGCTCCCTCGCAACTCTATCCAGTTGGTTGGGATTTAATGAGGGTGTTTCAATATTGGTATGAACAGTAGGGGAAAAATTGGTTCGGCCTTGAAGAACTTCTTCTTCCACCTTTTTTTAATGTGAACATTACTTAAAGGAAATGGCATGGCCATGTGTTAGTTTTCTTCCATCATATTGATGACAAGATCTTCCATGCTTGCACAGAGAGTTGGAAGAAATTCAAGTTCTGGTATTTCTTGGCCACCCTTATCTTCTCTTTTGCTCTTACGAAATTTTGTGTTATTCCATATCCCTTTTCGGGAGTAGCCAGGTGCTCTAATAGAGTTAGAAGGTTCTGGTCCCCGTACCACTTTGCATTGACGGATGGTTCTTATTATGTTTCGTATGATTCTCTTATTTATGCTGAGAAAACCATGAATGCGACTTTACTTTCGTTTTATTTCGATGAGAGAAGTTGTCTGGATATTGCGGGTGCGAAATCTACTGAGGAGAGGAAAAATATATTTGATATTAGATTTTCCCTTATTCTATTTGGTTGTTTGTTGATTTGTAACGCGCTTACCCCCATCAATTTTTTTCTTTTATTTCAGCTGAGATCAAGAGGGATAAGAGAGAAAGAACCTCGACTTTGATTGATCCTGTTGCGCCTGTACAGGAAGTTGAAGATTCCATGCCTACAAAGAGAGCCTATATGTTTACTCAAACTCCGTCTGAACGTAGCAGTAAGAAGAACCATGATAGGTCTGCACTGGTTAGGGCTAAAAATGTTGGACATGTGACTTCACACACAAGAGGGGGGTGAATTATGCGTTTAAAAAAATCTTGGATTTGAAAAACTTTTATGGTAAAAATCAGAGTTAGGAAATATTTTTGAAAAGGTTTATAAATAAGTAGTGTAAAATAAACTTGCAGAAGATAAATTTCGGAAATAAAGAGTTTAAGAGAAAGAGAAGAATACCATAATTTTTAAGGTTCAGTCAAAAGAAAAAACCTAATCCTCTCACAAAGATTTTATCTTGAGAGTATCCAATAAACTTGAGAGCTTTTTAGTAGGTAATACTCATGAACCACCTTATACAAGGAAAATGAAGTTTATGGCTAACTTTCAACCATACATAAAACTAGGAGTAAAATGTTGAGTCTTTCTTCCAAACGGTGGATAGAAGTTGTTAATCCTCTTTCCACAAAATAATTTTGGAGTTGCTAGTCTTCAATCTTCTAAACAAAGATTTTACCACAGGATAATCTGGAACCTTGTAGAGCTTTTAATACTGAACTTTGATCATGAACCTAACCTTGGTTTTGCCTTTGGATAACTAAGAACCTGAGAGATTTTATCACGGGAAGATCTTGAACCAAACAAGCCTTTAACATTGGGATAAGCTTTAACTTAAACTTGGTTTTATCACGGACTAGCCAAGAACCTATGCGATTTTACCCCGGGATGATCTCAAACCTAAACGCATACTTGATCACACAATTCCCCAAACCAAAGATTTTTATAGGTTTAGCTTCGAACCTAAACAAACAATCTCTAAGTGGATAAAATGTTCAACCAAGGTAAAAATAAAACTTCCTTGGTGAACTTACAAAACTACCCTTCTAGAATTACAATTTCCTCACTTATAAAAGGACTTTCTCGAAAAGCACTTCGACTAAACTTTTAGTGAGAGAAAATAAACAAAAAGAGTTTTTAGAGAGAGTGTGAGAAATGAAATCACGTGTCTGGATGTGAAAAAGAGTGGAAATGAACCTATTTATAGGCTACAGGCTGACACAAAAGAGGAAATAATTTTAAGGTTTTTTAAGACTTTCCAATCGATTGGTACATATTTCCAATTGATTGCTTACCATAAGTTAATCAATTACCAAGTTCAAAAAGGAAAGGAAATATACTTAGGGCTCAATCGGGGCAATCGATTAGGTTAATGTGCTAATTGATTGGCAAAGACAAAAGTATTCTTAGAGCTATTATGACAACTCCTAACTCACCTGACACGATTTCAAGGTATTTTTTAAAATGTTTTCTTGAGAAAATAAGTTTTAAAATAATTTTATGTGTGTGTGATTTAGCCATGTACTTTTATGAGAATGTGCTTATACTTTACAATATGTTTACTTAGATGCGTCAAGGCTGACTTTCACAACTTTCATGTACTTAAAGACTTGTCAGATGTTCCTTTCTTGTAGACACTTGCTTGACTTTACTTGAGATGAAGTTTGAGTTAGATTCTATTTGGTTTCCATCACCGGAGAGTCAAGTCTATTATCAAACCTTAATAGTTTGGTTTGTATCTTTATTAGCTTTAACCTCTTATGCTTGACTTTAGCCATCATTATACTTTTGGTTGTTATCTTTGAAAATTAATTGTCATCATCCAAGAGGTACATGAGGTAAGGCGCTTTCCCGGGGGAGTCCATAAAAAAATTATGGTAAGGCGCTTTCCCGGGGGAGTCCCCTCATGTACCTTTTTTGCCAATGCCCCGACTCTAAGGTGTTTCCCGACTATCCCCTCATGTACCTCCAAGAGTGCATAAGCATTTTCCTCCTTTTGTAGGCACCTTAGCAGCGGGAGATACATACATCTTTTTATAGGATTGTCCCAACTATCGTGTACGAACTAGCCCTCCTTCTTACCTGGATAACCTTGGTCGGGTTTGACGAGTGAATTCCTTGTTCAATATACTATCGAATTGAAGGCACCCAGGAAAGTAGGGCATCATTGTTTATGGCCGACACTATATCTTCTGATGCCTCAATACTTGGGGCTTTCAAATTTTCCCGGACAAAAGAATGGTTAATTCCAGGGTTCTTCGTGCTTACCAACTTAAAGAGTACGTCAGTGGTATGTTCTCTTCCTGGAAAACATGAGAAAAATCTTTTTTTTTAACCTCGTCAACTTCTCATTAGCTAGTTTCAAATATCGTTGCAGTAACGAGTCTTTAGTTTGTGTCTCTCCCTTAACCTGAGATACGGCCAATTGAAAATTTATTAACACCTTGATATGCTACGTCTCCATTTTTTTTAGCCAGTGTCATTCCTGTAATTATTACTTCATATTCGACTTAGTTGTTGGTGGCCGAAAACTCAAATCTCAAAAAAAATTCGACTACGAGACTGAATCTATTTTCTAGAATCATGTTGACCTCGTTTACTCAATTGTTGAACAATTCCTCCGTAATGTTTTTATTTTACTTAACTTATATTTTAAAATGAAAGTATGTAAATCAATCTTATTTTACTTTTACTTAATTTATATTTTAAAATAAAAGTGATGTAGATCAATCTTATTTTATTTAACTTATATTTTAAAGTAAAAGTGATGTAGATCAATCTTATTTTATTTAACTTATATTTTAAAGTAAAAGCGATGTTGATCAATCTTATTCTACTTAAACTTATTTAAATTTTTCTAACAAAAGCGAAGGTCTAATTTATGTCCAAAACCAAATTGAACTAGACGATCATCACCTATTTCCTTGATCCAAATAGAGCCACTATAGTCTTTGACTAATGAGTTTGTCAAACCAAGGTGTCTTAGTTAAATAACTTGTCATGAATTTCAAGATCTAACATGCATCTAATTTATAGTCCCAATGCTAACTAAAAGATAAATTTTGTGTTCAACACAATTCAATACCAATAGTATAGTATATAGCTTAGTGGCAACACACACTCTTATGAAAAACCAGATATAATAGTTTAGTAGACACAATGTTAAAGAAGCACGTGGGTAGAAGCTGTATACACCTAAACAATTTCTACTTGTACTTTATACTATACATTACAATAAGTATTACCTTGTGTGCATAAACCACTTACAAAAGTGATGCACCTTATACCTCATCTACATTAAATTACATTATTAATTTAATTACCTAACCTTTTTGTTTTCTCTCTCCCCAACCTTGAACTCTATATAACTCAAGGACTAGTAGGTTTTTCAAGTAACACTCACTAGATTACTCTTCTTTCTTTCTTGTCCATGCTCCAAAAAATGGCTTCAAAATCCATTCTTCTTCTTGGCATTTTTCTTGTGGTGGCCACTAAGGTATAATCTTTTTTCTACTTTTCACTTACTCATCCATCATTAGCACATAAATATTCACAATAAGGGGGTGGTGAAAGAAATTCTTTATTTTGAATATAACTATTACTCTCTTGATTAAGTGTTATATTTAAATTTGCATATATAACACCTTTAATTTTAAAATAATATATCTTTATGTGCAGGTTTATTCTTATGAGGAAGATCTCAAAATAGTGGTATGTTAACTCTTAAAAAATTTCCCTTTCTATTTTAGTTTGATTCCTCTAAAACATCTTATCAGAAAGTTGTTTCATAAATTATTTTGTCAATATCTAGAAGATTTTTAACTTTTTTATAAATAATTTTTTTACAAATCATTTTATTGAATGTTTAATTAATAGCTTTTTTTTTGTTTAAAAAAACAAGCAACTTAGAAAAATGGCATTTGGTGCAGGTGAACTATGCAAACCCTTCAGCTCCTTCTGTTCTAGCTCCACCAGTAAAACCATCACCAACACCTGTAGTGACGGCTCCAACACCTCCTTCTCCGGTGAAGACACCGCCAACAACTCCACCATCACCTCCTTCTCCTCCATTGGCAAAAACACCACCTTATCAATCACCACCTATTGTGAAACCACCTTCACCACCACCGGTCACAACACCAACTCCGCCACCAACTTCTCAGCCACCTATTGCTAAAACTCCACTTGCACCACCTACTCCAGTCGTCAAGTCATTGAAGGGTAAGTCACTCTCCATTTCTATGTTATTTATAGTTAAATAGAATCTCATAAATAATTAGCTACGGTTATACTGTCACTAAATCATAAAAAATTTGCTACGGTTATTCTATCACTAAATCATTAAAAAATTTGCTACGGTTATTCTGTCGCTAAATCTAAAAAAATAAATCGATACTGATATAATTAAAGATCTTTAAGGTAACATGTTAGTGAGATGTGATGAATTAATGATACTTTGTATATTTATTTTGTTGGCAGATTGTGTTCCACTATGTGGTTATAGGTGCCAATTACATTCAAGGAAGAACTTATGCTTGAGAGCATGTGTAACATGTTGTAACCGTTGCAAATGTGTCCCTCCAGGAACTTATGGCAACAGAGAAAAATGTGGCAAATGCTACACTGATATGTTGACTCGTGGCAACAGATATAAGTGTCCATAGATACACAAATTTACACACCTAGTTATGAGTTTGAAAAAAATGTAATAGTGATTAAGGTTTTAAAATTGCTGGTTTATTATATAATTTAGTGACCAGCATTACATTATGCAGCAAGTTAATTATTACTAGTATGTTATGTATGTGATCTTTGTGGTCCAGAAATTTATGTTGAAATTAAAAATGGTAGTACTATTAACATGGAGTTATGGAAGTATATCTTGTTGTTGAAAATCTAGGAGTATAATTAATACTGTACTGTTTTAAAATGACATCGTTTAATATTTTTGCATAAAATTAAAAAAAAAAAATTTCAAAAATAAAAAATACAATTAAAAAATAATAATTTTTATTATATTAAAAAGTAAGAATAACAATTATTTTGAAATAATTTTATTTATTAAAACGATCATTTTAACACGGAAGTAGTACAGAGTTATAATTTTAATAAATTGGATTCTATTTTCTGAAAAGTGAGAAATGTTTTTTTATGTTTTTATTTTTGTCCTTTTGGATTTGGTGGCATTGATTGATTCATGGGGTCACTGTCATATAAATTATGCCAGCTACCTTTGTCAGAATGCATTCATTAAAGTCTACCCATTAAATTGGAGGACACATTTTTTACAGCTTGGTTGAAAGGTACTCCTAAGGGTAGAACCTAGGTAGTCTAACTAGTAACTCCAATGTACTAGTATGTACAAGTTTAGGTATCTACATTTTGATGTAAGAAAAAAGAAGAGAAAAAAAAAAAAAAAAAGCTAATTCAAGAGGTTTGCCTTTTCTTCTTACTTAGTGTATTATAGGGATAGACAAATTTAAGCACTCCGATCTAAATTGATTGATTTATTGTCTTTTTTTGAGCAAATAAATTGAATTGGATTGGGTGTCGGATTCTTCAATTTACTATATTATAAGATTGATTAAGTTGGATTTAAATAATTTTTTTGAATCTGTTGGAAATCAAATCCGACTTAATTTAATTAATATTTATTTTATATATTTTTTATTATTTTAGAGTCGAAGCATTATAAAAATAGAATTCATAATATTATCAAATTATTGTCATTTTTATAATTTAATGGTGTCATTGTATACTCATAAAAATATAAGATATACAATATAAAATTTTGAGTGTTATTTAATTTGTTATTTAAAGTATGATAACGAGCAAATTAATATCAAATGATATTTGAAATCTATCGTATAAAAAAAATTGGATGTTCCGGAAAAGACCCAATTATCATACTTGCTCCAAAACACGCAACGTCTTCTATTTTCAACACGCGACATCATATGTTTTCAAACTATCAACTACACCTCTTCTCTTTACCAAAACATAAAGATGCATTTCAAAATAAAAACTTTTGTTTCCCCCAAACTCTAAACCATATCCTTTCTCTTCCTCTTCTTCTTTCTTATCTCTTCCTATACCTTTCTTCCTGTTTCTTACCTTTCTATAATTCTATATTATTCCTTTTCTCTCTTCTCTCTGCATTTCATCTTTTTCTTTGAACTTTCTTCATATCTTCTCTATGAACCTAGCTAGATTTATGTCGAAACTGTGATATTTATTGTAAACTAGCGGTGGCTTTATGGCTCTGCTTCATGGTGATTGTACGCTGATGATGGGACAACACGATTGAAGATGGTAGAACTTTTGTGGTCGAAAAAGGGAACTGGAAAAAATAGTGGTGTGTGATTCGGTTTGCGGTGTTGCAGCGGTTGGACTGAGTGATACGCAATGGTTTTCGACATAGGTAAACTCTGATTTTCTCAGTTCCTTACTATGATGTTCTTCTAGATTTGGTTCGTCAGTACATTTTTGTTGTTAGTGTTGTGTTAAATACATTTTTGTTGTTGATGTGGTTGATATTGTTGTTGTTTGAAAGTGAGAAAGTATTGTGGATGGTAATAAGCAATGTTGAGATCTTAACAGGAAGCTTCAATGACTTGCATCTGAAACCATCAAAAGCTTTATCAATGATGTCCATGTAATATTTTCCAAGCAAGCTAAGAACTCAAGATAAAATATAGAAGCAAGAATGCTTCCAATAAACTGCCAAAGATGTTAAGGATACGGTTTATTGGATATTGATAAGTTCATTCTAAGTTGCAGTAATAGATAGAGAAAATAGTTGACTAGCAGTAATAATACGAAACATTTCATGAATTTTTGAATTATTTGGTTGTCTATGCTTTTGAGTTTCAATTTCAGAATGGAGGGGTGTACAAGAGGGGATCTGGAGTGCAATTATCTCACCTTATGAAACCAAATATGTTGATATCAAGATTGACCGTGAAATACTGGATTCAGTTACAGTTGCCCTTAAAGAAGGTTTGTTTCTTTCATATCAAAATATGTAGAATATTATTCTATTATTATCGGTTGCTATGAGTTTTTAAACTTCCAATGCTAATTTATCTGTTCTAAAACAAATTATGCAGATTTTCGCAATGCCGTCTCATTGGTCTTGGTGTTGGATTGATACTATTGTTATTGGCTCCTATTATCAACAGTTGGGTTCTTTTTTATTACAGTAGCTCAATGGCCATATGAATCTTTCTTGTGCTTATAATCTTTTTTAATGTATATTACATCATGTTAAATTTCATTTATTTGCATCAGGCTCTGCATTTGGAGTAACTCAACTTCAATTTCGGCTTTCTGTACATGCTATTGTTCTATTGTTCTATTTGCATGTCCAACATTTGTAGGTAATCATTTGTACAAGCTATTGTTCTATTTGAAGGTTCAACATATGATTGTAGAAGTCAGTGAAATTCTGGCTAATGATGTTGTAGATAAGGCTGGTTTATGGAAAAACAAACTCACTGATAAGTCATTGGAGCTTTTTGACTTTTTACCTCAAGCAACTCAAGAACATTTGGTTCTTGAAAGAGATCCACATGGAAATGTTCAGGTACCTAAAGTTGCATAGCATTATATTTTGTGTTTATTTGTCTTCTATATCCAATTCTGAATCAATATCATTTTTAACATTAGTATGTTCACATTTAGGTTGCTAAAATTGAAATAGAGAAAATGCTCAGGTAAATTTGTAAAGTTTGATTCGGTCTAAGTGAAAATAGTTTTATACTAACATAATTAATCATACTGCCTACTAAGCCTATTTTGTTTCCACATATATAACTTGGCAATGCTTTTAAACCAGACTTGTAATGAAGGGCGACAAAATGCGTCATCCAAGATATTGGAGATATTGACAGTGGTGTGTGAACATATTTTCCTGCAAACACCTCTTGCTTAGCAACTATTCCAAATGCCTCTTCCTTTTCTCTACCAGGTTAGGGTGCCCTCGCATTTTATACCATATAAAACAAAAGTTCTACTACGATAATCGGTGTTTCTACATATAGTGTAACTTCTATGAAGGTATTGGCTACTGAACTCTTCACTTCACATATCTATCTACCATGACAATTTGAGAGTTTTCTTGTACATTCTAGGGTTTAATTTAATAAAATACAATGCTTTTATTTTGAGGAGCAACAACTAATTCTCGGAGAGGAGATTGATATGTCTGTAAGTAGTTTTCTCAATCTGAACTCAAGTATGCAAAATAATATTCATGCATTTTGCTTGTGTAATTTGGAAACCTAGATTCATTAATCTATTGTTTTGTTGTCTACTTTGGTTTTTTATGTTAGTTTATGAAATATTGATGTTACTTCTTATATCAGACCTTATGATTTTGCATTTGTAACATTAATTAACTCTCTATCTGTGCTTTTTCTTTACTAAAGAATGACTCTTCTCTTTGCAAGGTTAACAGCTGATGAGTTGATTTAATAACAGGCTAGACAACTTCAGTTTAATCTTGAGTATTCTTACAATTCCTTTATGGCAGGTATGTCCAATGCTGGAACTTGAATGAATGATGTGAGCTTCTAATTAAATCAAAATTCCTTTTTCTATATTTTTATCCATTGGTTTCTAATATTGTTCATTGGAAATGAATTTTTTCTATTTGGTGCAAGCTTATGTATTTTAAAGGCCAAATGGATATTTATTAGTCATGGCTATGCTGGGCACTAAAGGTTTATTCTATATTTGGATGAGTTTTAAGATTTTCTCTTTTCTGCCGATGTTTGGTTTGGGTTTCTCTGTATTCCTATATAGCAACGGTGAAATCTTACTAGAAAAGAATGGCAATATCATACAGAGTATATTACCCGTGGCTAATCATGAATCTGATGACGATTCCTTTCTCATGTTCCAATTGAAGAAGTTATTCGCCTATATCAAAATGGATGGAACAAAAACATGACTTTTCAGAAATTAATTCATCATAATTAAACTCAAGATACCAAAAAATAGGGATGCAAACATTTATAAACATATATATATCTATTAAATAACACTAATATTTATATAGATTCTACTTAATGATGTAGTCATTTATATAGATTCTACTTAATGACACTAATATTTATGATATTGACATTGTTGTCTTAATGTGACTTCCAACAACATTCTAGATCAAGCTATTGATTCAGAAGAAGCTCAACACAAGTTCTTCCTTTGCCTGGTAAGGCAAAATATTATTTATTCATATGATTTTTGTGTGAGAACCTCTCCAGGTATAATATATTATTGAATATGCTCTTATTTTATTTCCTTCTCAAACATGGAAAAATAGATAATATTGTGTTTTACATCTGTAATACGGTGGGAGAATTGACTTAGATGTTTTGCATTTTATCGCAATTGTTGCGGATGGCAAGAGTTTTCACCGAATTTTCTTTTTTCAATAAAGGAAAGGGCGAAAAGAACAAGAAAGACCTTTTGAGATATTTCTTGAGTTCGGAGGGTAGGTTATGAAAAGGGAATGTGTTAGCACCCTTTTCATCTGTAGTTATCTACGGGCTCTTAATTACTAGCTCACTTTGAAATGTTTTGTTTGAAATGTGTTTGTGATTGATTTTGAAAGTATTTTTGAAAAGTGTCATCGTTTAAGCGAACTTTGTAATGATTCTCGTCTCTATAAGAATGCATACAAATTGTTGACTTTTTAAAATATTTCATTTGAAAGTGCCTTTGCTTAGTTGAACTTTGTAATGATTCTCGTCTCTATAAGAATGCATACAAAGTGTTGAGTTTTTGAAAATATTTCATTTAAAAGTGTTGGTGTGTTTTAAAAGATGTTTTGAAGATGGTTATGAGAAAGCAACTATGAACGTTCTACCTACTCAAAAAGTCTTAGATCTTTTCCTCCTCCTTTAGATATTGCTATCTTATCATTGATTGATAAAAAACCATATCATTACATGTGAAGGGACAGACGTGGGTCGTCGTACAATCATAGAAGGCAACATTGTAAGATACCTTAGCAATTTGTCGTAAGGGTCTAAGATCGTTTTACTGAAGAAAAAATTTGAAGGGTCATTGAAGGACTACGATCTTGTATTCGAGGGTCATTGCTAAAGCATCCCACGTTCGAGGGACATAACTGTTTTATCTGATGTAACAAATGTGAGTTACCTTAGAGGTGCGAGTGTGCAAAATGTTTGTTTTCATGCATTTATTCTTGAATTAAAGTTTTCTACTTATTGATTTTAAGTCTTGCCATACATACCCTAATTACTAGCAATAATATTGAAAACGATAAATTGCGGAACTTTAAAGTTCTATGCTATTACATTCTTTTTTTGGGATGAGGATACAAGTTTATGAATGCGTAATGAAGGTAATAAAGTTCTAATTATACTATTACAACTATATTGAATATTGAATGACAATAAAAATATAAAGAAATATAAAGATAATGTAAAAAAGGAAAAAATTAGTTTAAGAAAATTTTTATGTATTGACACATGAGCTTATGCATTGATACAAAAATTTTATGTATTTATGCATGCATTGGCTCATATCTGTTTTGTATTGGCTCATATCATCTCTTTGACTCTGGAAATCAAAATCAACTCAGTATGAGTCGACACATAAGGGTTTTGTATCGACTCATACTGCTTTGTATCGACACATGCAAGTTTTGTATCGACTCATACTCATTTCTAGCTTCTGGAAGTCAAAACAACTCATTATGAGTCGACACATAAGGATTTTGTATCGACGCATACTGCTTTGTATAGACACATACGCGTTTTGTGTCGATTCATAACCTATTTTGTACATAATATGTGTCGATTCATAGTGTTTCGTATCGACTCATACTGCTGTTTTTTACTTTTGTCGTTGTTTTGCTACATGTAAAAGTCAGTTCTCAACACATGGTTAGTGAAAATGAAAAAAAAATGGTTAGCTTCAAGGCAATGATATCTACATTTTATATTCATAAATGAATCATTAATTATGCTTTTTATGAAGAGTTCAAAGCCAAGAAAAACTTACCTTGAAACTGAAATTAGTTTGAGTTGGAGAAATCAAGTTGCAGGTGTCTGTTTTTGAGTTTTGAAGATAGTGATGCTACGGAAGTTGTTCTTGAGTTTTAACAACTTCTATATGATGTATATGGAGTGTTTGGATGGTTTGTTTGGATAAAACTTGCAAGGTGTGAGAGATTCAAAGGTTTTGGACTTCAAAGCTCAAAGATGGAGATTTTTGTGGACAATTTTGGTTTTTAGAGTATGAGAGGGGGGGGGGGGGGGGGGTTGAGGATTTTTCAATACACAACAATTTATATATTTTTCTGACCTCTTTCTCTTGAAAATACTCCCTCTATTTATAGGCAAAAGGTTTGTGATCAAGGGCTGATTAAGTTTACAAGAGAACATGTTATGGTTTGGTTGGGATGCAAATATCAAACTATGTCAAGTATTCCATAGTCCCAAGATGAAGTACTAAATTTGCTGGTATGAAGGGGCTACTTTCCATGATTTATGGTGGAGTAAAATCAGAGGTAAACAAGGTATGGGATCAAGATAAGTTTTGTGTCAACAAGCTTGCTTTTCAAGAATAGCAATGATGCCTTTATGTCATAAATGGAAATATCTTTTGGACAATGGCTCAAAAACTTGGGTAATAGCTCAAGAGTAGGTGTAAGCATTAAATTATGGTGAGATTGACAAGTTAGAAGGCCTGAAACACAAGATTATGCAGCATAGTATAAGGATTTTGTTATGTGTTCTTCAACAAAAGGACTTGCAATTCAAGGATGGATGCCCAACTTCATGCCCTTGAATCTCCTATCTCAAGTATGATAAATTCATGCTCTAGGATGTTTTGGAAAGCTTGAAACATCCTCAATAACTTTCACGTTGGCCATTTTGACAAAATAATCTTAGAACTATGTGAAAAAATACCAAGAAGTTGGGATAAAATCCTGACCAAAACTTGATGAAAATTTCTCTAAGTGTTGGATAAACATGTCATGACTTCATGGACTCATATCTTTAAATCTAAGCATTTTTTGGACATCAACCATCTATTAAAAAGTTTTAGAATTCATCAATATCTACAACATTCATGTTGAAAGTTTATTTTGAATCACCTTGCACCTTGGTGAAAGAATGTCATGAAGTTATGAAATTATCATGTATGAAAAAACAGAAAAATTTCTAAGTCTTGGAAAGTTTGACTTTTCAAATTGACTTTTCAAATTGACTTTTTACTTTCTTGACTTTTTGATGATCAAGCTTGATATTCTTGAATGTCTTGATGAATTTTTATCTTTGAGACTTAATTTGACTAAAAAGTCAAAGTTTGACTTTTGGCGTATCCGTTGACTTTTCGTCAATACAGGTGATTTTTGGTCATCTGGTCAATTGACTGAGCAGAATTTGTGATACAAGATTTGAAACTTGACATGAGCATTATTGAAGGTCCATAATGATTTTGATACGGTGGGAGAACTGAATTGAGTTCTTTGCATTTTATCGCAAATGTTGTGGTTAGCAAGAGTCGCCACCGACTTTTCTTTTATCCAAAAGGAAAGGCTGAAAAGAACAGGAAAGACCTTTGAGATTATTTCTTGAGTTCGGGGGGGAGATTATGAAAAGGGAAGGTGTTAGCACCCTTTTCATCCATAATTATCTATGGGCTCTTAGTTGCTTGCTAGATCACTTGCTTTTGTTTGAAAATGTGCTTTGTGTGGTTTTGAAAGTATTTTGAAAAGGCGCATTCGTTTAGGCAAACTTTGTAATAACTCTCGTTCGTAAGAACATATACAAAGTGTTGGGCTTTTGAAAATATTTCATGTTTGAAAAATGTTTTGAAAGTGTTTTTGAATGTGTTGGTGTTTGTTTTGAAAATAAGCAAGGATATTTGATTTGAAAATGAGCAAGCAACTAGGAACAATCTATCTACTCAAAAGTCTTAGTTCATTTCATCATTTCCTTTGTTATTGCTATCTTACCATTGATTTGGTAAGAAGCCTTATCTTTAGATGTAAAAGGACGGGCGTAGGTCATCGTATATCAATGATAGCAATGTTGTGAGATATCTTAGCATTTTTCTTTAAGGGACTAAGATCATTTTGAAAGACAATATTGATAGCGTCATCGAGGGACTATGATCTTGTATTTTTGATTGCTTTTGCTAAGATATCTCACATGCATAACATGGTTATTTTGGTAAGGCAACAAAGTGGAATTACCCTAAGGGTGCAAGTGTGCAAATGTGTTTGATTTACATGCTTGTTTATCTTGGATTAGGGTTTTCTAACTTGTTGATTTTAATCTTTCCATACAAACCCTAATTTACTAGCATTTATATAAAGCGATAAATTGCGGAAAGTAAATATACTAAGCTATTACATCATTTGGGGAGGGGGCATACAAATTTACAAATGATGATTTTGCACGAAAATTAAATCTAATTAACTATTACAACCATATTGAATAAATATACAAGAATTGAATAAATAATAATGTACAAATGCAAATGGAAAAAGAAATGATTTTTGTTTGAATTTTTTTTGAAAGAGTTTTGATCTTACCTGATCAGACTTGGAACGTCACATCTGGCTCCGAGCTGAAGTTTGAACGAGATGGGGGGGATACCTGCAAGACACTCCGATGCTAAAGTGAGTGGTAGTACGAGCAGGTAAAAAGTGTGTATATGGGTAAGAGAATCAATACCTGACCCTCTTGGAACAGAGAATATTCATAGCCCCCAGCGCTGGGCCAAGGTCCCTTCATTGGGCCGACCAAGATTGGCTCAATAAAGGAACTGCCAGGTTCTACGTGTGTAACGGTGATGGAGTAACGGTTACAGTATGCCCCACGAGGAGGGTGCTCGAGCTGGATTGTATGTGGTCGAGGACATTGCGTCCAAGGGAGTGGCGGACACGGCTGTAGCTTCTGGTCGACG